ACTACTACTACTACTACTACTTACTACTCATCCTTCAAGACTCCTTTCATTTAAGACATTTTTGAGCTTTGCCATTTGGAGAGTTGCTCTCTGTCAAGCGTTGGACTAGAGAGATCACGCGACGGATTCAACCGAAAGCAATTGTCTATGTTCCTCTGATACACGTCTGTGTGTTCACCTTACCTTGTTGTCCTGTTGGGGCCTGAGAAAGCAGGAACAGGGGGACAGATTGCATGTGGCCGGGGACCTGCACGAGTTGCTGCAAAGTGTGAAGAGAACTCATATCCTGGAGGAGGAGGAGAAAAACGCAAGTCAAGTGGAGTAGCAGCCCCTTGGGTTGGAGGAGACAGTGGCATTGGGGGTGTGTGTGTCTCCTAAGGTCACACCATTATTACCATCCACTGAGGACCAACAAGATTTGGGGTAGGCTGAGCTCCCTTTCCCATCCGGACGTCCCCAAGCCCTCAGTCTCTTACCCCAGTGATTTGGCCTCCGGGCATCATCGAGGGCCCTTGTACTAGATGGGTCGGTCGGGAAGGGAGGGCGTTTTGCAAGGAGTCACTGAGGTCTTCCGTCTTGATCTGCAAAGGAAAGAACTGCGTCAACATACAGACGTGTCACCAAAGAGGATCTCAAAGAAATTAACTGTGCCCATGACAATTTCAAAAATTGATAAATAATAGTGATTAAAGAATAACTCATTTATAGACAAATAAATAAACCACTTATACAATTTCCAAATCATAACGAGCTTCCAGAAGATATCTGCTCCAGCAGTTACATATTGAGTGTTGTGAAGGCACAGCCCACTTTGAAAATGATGTTGTGAATTGAATAAACTGAGACTGTTTTTCAGTGATATCCTTCAAGTTACTGGTTCCAACTTTAACCCCCACCCCAGGGGTCATTCTGTAGAAAAAGAGGTGCAGGAGCTCATTAGCATAACTCATTAGCACAACTCATTTGCATATGCCACACCCCCTGACATCACCGGAAGTGTGTCAGAAGGCAACACCCACCACTCAGGGTCCACTGGACGGTTTTGGATTGCTGGCTATCGGGGGGGGGGGACGTGCAGATCTGTCCTCGCAGAGGAGGGAGAGCTTGTACATGTGGCATGTGCAAATGAGCTATGCTAATGAGTTATGCTAATGAGCTTTTGCACCTCTTTTTCCACGAAATGACCCCTGGACCTCATAGCTACTCTGTCCGTGCCAAGCTGAGGGATTATTATGTGGGAAGGAATCGTGGTGGAGACTTGTCTCGGCGGTAGAGTGCCTGCGCTGTATATACATGGTCCCAGGTTCAGTCCGTGGCATCACCAGTTAAGGACATAAGAGGAGCTAGGGTTGCCAAGTCCATCTTTTACCCCCAGCGGGGGACTTTGGGGGCATTCCTCGAGGGGGTGGTGCATCCCCGACGGGATGACACCACGTTGGGGTCGTCCGCCCCCCCCGCCCGTGCGCCAGATCTCCATAAATGGCAGTTCCCTGCCCTTTTAATCGCAGGAGCCGACGTTTCCCCTTTAAGAGCAGCCGTGTTTCCCTTTTAAGAGCGAAGCTGGCATTTCCCTGCAAGCTTGCGGAGATCGGGCTTGGGAGGAAACACGGGTTCCACACACTTAAAGGGAGAGAGAGGGGTGGCTGTGGGTGTTGGGGGCAGTGGGTAGAACCCCCCCCCCAAAACGGGGGACCCCTGGCAAACTGGGGGGTTGGCAACCCTAAAAGGAGCCCTGCTGGATGAGACCAATATTCCAATGTAGGCCGTCATCCTACTTCCCACAGTGACCAACCGATACCCAGGGAGAGGCACAGAGGCCAAGGCCTCCTCCGGCAACTGGCATTCAGAGGTCTAGTGCCTTTGAGCATGGAAGGTCCTCGAAGCCATTGCATGGCTATGCCTCCTTCCTAATTCACAGTAGCGACACTGAGGGATTTATCCTGCAGCAATTTGCTCAGTCCCCTTTTTAACACCGTCTAAACCAGCCCAGGTTAGCCGGATCTCATCAGATCTCAGAAGCTAAGCAGGGTTAGCCCTGGTTACAGTTGGGAAGGGAGACCACCAAGGAAGACCCGGGTGGCTCTGCAGAGGTAGGCAATGACGAACCACCCCTGGACGTCTCTGGCCTTGAAAACTCTACGGGGTCCCCATAAGTCTGTTGGAACTTGGGAGCCAGAAGATAAACAAACAGCCAGCTATGGTTGCCGAGTCCAGGTTGGGAAATTCCTGTGGATCTGAGGTTACACAAGACAAAGATACATGAGGAGAAGAACTTTTAACATTTTGTCTGCCCTGAGGTAGCAGGAGTTGTTGGGAGCTGCTTCCAGCCCTGGTAGACCGTGTTGAATTAGACAGACCAACAGTCTGACTCACTATGAGGGAGCTTCCCATCTAGAAACAATGACAGGAGCAACGTAGAGATGCCAGCCTCCAGGTCGGACCTAGAGATCCCCTGGAATTACAGCTCATCTCCAAACCTCAGAGATCAGCTCCCCTGGAAAAATCCAATCTCCTCCTCCTCCTCCTCTCTTCTTCATCTTCTTCTTCTCCCAGTGCACTGGCAGATACCCTGCCAAATTTAATTGAGGCAGTGGCAGAGTGGGCCTTGAGGTACCGCAGACTGATAATTCCGGGGGACTTCAATGTCCACGCAGATATCGCTTCTTCCTCTTCTCAGGCTTCGGACCTAGTAGCATCCATGGCAACACTAGGGCTCTCCCAGGTTGTATCGGGTCCCAATGTGATGCACATTGGAGCCAAAAATCCTAAATATAAATACACATTGATGGGGTCTGAACTGGCAGAGACTGATCAAGAGAGAGATCTTGGAGTTGTAGTAGATAACTCACTGAAAATGTCGAGACAGTGTGTGACTGCAATAAAGAAGGCCAATGCTATGCTGGGGATTATTAGGAAGGGTATTGTAAACAGAGCAGCCAATATCATAATGCCCCTATATAAATCAATGGTGCGACCTCATTTGGAATTCTGTGTGCAATTCTGGTCACCACACCGTAAAAAGGATATTATAGCTTTGGGAAAAGTGCAGAAAAGGGAAACTCGCACGATAAAGGGGTTGGAACACTTTTCCTATGAGGAAAGGTTAAGGCGCTTAGGTCTCTTTAGCTTGGAGAAATGACGACTGAGGGGTGACATGATTGAGGTTTATAAGATTATGCATGGGAAAGAGCAGGTAGAGAAAGAGGTACTTTTCTCCCTTTCTCACAATACAAGAACTCGTGGGCACTCCATGAAATTGCTGAGCGGTCGGGTTAGAACGGATAAAAGGAAGTACTTCTTCACCCAAAGAGTGATTAACACTTGGAATTCACTGCCACAGGAAGTGGTGGCGGCTACAAGCATGGACGGCTTCAAGAGGGAATTAGATAAGCATATGGAGCAGAGGTCCATCAGTGGCTATTAGCCACAAGGTATAGATAGGGACTCTGGGGCAAGTGATGCTCTGTCATCTTGGTGCTTGGGGGGGGGTCAACAGTGGGAGGGCTTCTAATGTCCTGGCCCCACTAGTGGACCTCCTGATGGCACTGGTATTTCTGGCCACTGTGTGATACAGAGTGTTGGACTGGATGGGCCTTTGGCCTGATCCAACATTGGCATCTCTTATGTTCTTATGTTCTTATATATCAAGCAGGCCACACGCTAGATTTGATCTTCATGGCGGGTGTGAACATTGGCCAGATCTCTATGGATACAGTGCCATGGTTGGACCATTTTGCCCTGAAGGCCCGTCTGGATACATCAGTCCTCCCCTACAAAGGTAGCAAGTGGATTTATGTTCACCCACAGAGACGTATAGATTGAACTAGTTTCCAGAATGCCCTGCGGGATCTGACACCCCCCGGTGACTCGCTAGATGCACTGATGGAAAGTTGGCATAATCAACTTTCGGAGGCCATCGACAAGGTCGCTCCCAGATGTCCTCTTCGCCTCTCTCAAAACTAGCCCCTTGGTATACCTCGGAGGTATACCTCCTGCCAACCTAGCAGTTCGAAAGCAAGAAATTGCAAGTAGATACATAGGGACCACTTCGGTGGGAAGGGAACAGCGTTCCGTGCGCCTTGGTGTTTAGCCATGCCGGCCACATGACCACGGAAACATCTTCGGACAGCACTGGCTCTTTGGCTTTGAAACGGAGATGAGCACCACAACCCTTGAGTCGGACTCGATTGGCTTTCGAGCAAGGGAACCTTTACCTTTACCTATACCTCGGAGCTAAGGGAAATGAAGCCAGAGCTTAGAAGACTAGAATGAGTTTGGTGTTGCACTCGGGATGAAGCTGCAAGAACATCCTGTGGGACATTGATGACAGCCTATGGGATGGTGGTGAAGGCCACAAAGAAAGTTTACTATGTGGCCCCCACTGCATCCGCAAGCTCTCCCCCAGTGCAATTGTTTAGAGAAATTAGACTGCTTATGTCCCTAGCGCGGGACTCCCAAAATTTTAGTGATTTGACTATTTTGCAGAGAAAGTCTTTTCGCTCCACCGTGACCTCCCCCCGATGTTGACGCAGTGAGCGAACTTGAGGCTTCTTGGCCATCATTGGGTTCAGTATGAAATCAGTTCAGATGACTAGCGCAGAAGACTGACGTTGATGGGATCCTGTCAGCTGTTAAATCCACCACCTGCCTCCTCGACTTGTGCCCTTCGTGGCCGGTTAAAGCCAGTGCGGAGAGGGTACGAACTTCCCTGGCAGACATCATTAATCTGTCCTTGGGTTCGGGCGTCTTCCCGAGAACCATCGCTAGATCCTTCTGAGCTAGCCAACTACTGCTCAGTTCTGAATGTTCCATTCCTGAACAGAGTGGTTGAGCAGGCGGCACAACAACTGCGGGCTTTCCCGGAGGACACGTCAGCCTTGGAGCGATTCCAATCCGGCTTCTGTCCTAGCCATGGGACGGAGATGGTGCCGGTTGCCTTTACAGACACTCTCCATAGACATCGGGATCAAGGCGGGTCTGCGTGGTTGTTGTTGTTAGGTCTTTCAGCAGTGTTTGATACAGTCGACCATGACCTGTTGACCCACCGTCTTGCCACCACTGGATTATGTGGAACAGTCCCTCGATGGCTGTGCTCATTTTGTCCAGTTCTACAGGGCCTGTAAGACTGAGATGTTCCACTGGGCATATTGGTTGAGGACAGCGATGGTTAGAGAGATCCGCAGGGTTTTCTCTTCCCTTCTCTTTGCAAAAAAGTGCAAAAGAATGCAAAAAAAGTGCAGAAAAGGGCAACTAGATGATAAAAGGGTTGGGACACTTTCCCTATGAAGAAAGGTTAAAGCACTTGGGGCTCTTTAGCTTGGAGAAACGACGGCCAAGGGGTGACATGATTGAGGTTTATAAGATTATGCATGGGATAGAGCAGGTAGAGAAAGAAGTGCTTTTCTCCCTTTCTCACAATACAAGAACTCGTGGGCACTCCATGAAACTGCAGAGCGGTCGGGTTGGAACAGATAAAAGGAAGTCCTTCTTCACCCAAAGAGTGATTAACACATGGAATTCACTGCCACAGGAGGTGGTGGCAGCTACGAGCATGGACGGCTACAAGAGGGAATGAGATAAG